GGGCCCAGCTCATCCCCACTGAAATTCCTCCACATTTGAACCGAGTAAACTGCACAGCAAAGCCCAGTAAAAAATCAGGGAAGGAAAGTAATAAAGCCACTGGAGTTTCAAGACCCAGCGTGGTCCTTGCATATCTAGGGGATAGGGCAATTCTTGCATAGACATGGTCAGCCACTCTCTATACTGGTCTTTTCTTTCTTCTACGGGCTACTAGAACTATTGATTTTCATGTTGCGAGAGTAATATTCCTCATTCCTTCCTCTCTCTAACTATTGACTCGTGCTATCACCATCTACTTACTCTTTTAAAAGCTTATCAAGTCATTGCAATATAATAAACTTAATTTGATCTATGCTCATTTGTTACTTTCTTTAGATTAGCATACTCAAACACAATAAATAAATAAATAAATAAAACTATTGATGATTCGAAATTTTTATTTTGTGTGAAAATTCTACATATACCTAGTTGGGATTACAAGAAACGATCGAAAACACATTCAAATGTATGAAAAAAGAAGGAAACATAACACATGCTAAAGGTTCGTTGGTAGCATTTCATTAGTGGTGTGCCATGACAACCACAGTGACAGCGAGACCATTGGCCTTTCGCATTAATTGATGATTCGAACAGTTGGGAAGAAAAGTTGAGCAAAAAGAAAATTTTAATGTGAAAAAGGGTAGACATGGAAAAAAAATTTTCTTCTCTATTTTTAATGTTTTAACCTAAAAACTTGAAGCTAAAACGTTGAAGGAAGTTAATCTAAAAAAAAAGGTTTTGTTGGGTTTTACTCTCTCGTTGACCTAAGAAAAGTAGTATGACTCTGCAGAAATGATTAAATAAAGTCATAAGTTGACTTAAAGCAAGCCTTTCAGTTTATAAGTCATGAACAATTACTAAATAAGGTAATGTTACTTGCACGTTAAGCTCAGGGTGAAGTATTAATGGAAATTACCTTAGCCGGAAAGGTTGCTAAAAATATTAATGAACATATCACCTGTAAGTAAACTGAAGGAGAAAATGATAATTCTGGGCCGATGGCTCGATGGTAAACGAGCAGGTTGTGAAGGGAATCATCTCCCATCTCTAGCCATTCATCGATTGTCTTATTACATAATCCGTCCACGAACCTCACCCCGCAATCGTTACACTTTATATAGGGTCGGCCTGACTCGCTTCTCCTGATCCGGCCGCAGGTGATATAATAGTCGTTGAGCCAGGAAAACATGATTTCCTTCATGTGTGCGAGGGTTAGCCCTCCCACTGCCTGGCTGCTAAAGAAGTGGACCCCTTTGAGGTAGTGAAGCTTCATGGCTAAGTCAAGGCCGCTAGGCTCATGAACCACATCCGTACCGGTCACGCGGCCTGGACCGACGGATGAGAGCCTAATGTTATAGACAAGGTGGTCTAGTTCTGGAAGAACCATGCTGGTGATTGGGAAGTAAGTGGAGTGGAGAGAGAAACAGGTAAAACGGCCGGACACGTCGGCCAACGTGGCTTTAGGGGGGGCTTATAAATTGGGTTCTCAAATCAAGAGCGGTGGGGGATTTAATGGGAAACATTTATTTGGTTCTTATTCATTGGTTCGTTAGACGTGGAACAGTTGGCCACTTTGGCTTTGCATTTAAAGTTCACCGCTTAGTTTGAAATGGATGGAAAGCTCCTTCTAGCCAGAGACTTTAAACTGGGATGATTATATGTGCTTACTCAAAATAAGGTGCATTTTTTGCAAAATAATTTTTAAAAAAATTCTTAAAATAATTCATGGGAACAAATATGCATGAGAATAAAAGTTCAGAAAAATTGATGTTCAAGCGAATAATAAAATTAATAGTTGGTGCAGTAACTTCTCAGTTAAACCACTCCTAATTAAATTCAGATTTAATTTATATTATTCGCAATTTCAACTAATGGGAGGTTCTTCATCAATATGAAAATTCTCTAATCTTTACTAGTCTCCTCATAAAGTTAGAAGTTGACTTTTAAATATTTAGATTTAATATTAAATACCAAAATAAAAATTCATCTGAAGGACAGTTAGTCAGCCCGTGCATTTGATGAAGGGCCCTGTCCAATATGTAATGTCATTATTTACATATTCATCTTATTTTAAAATTATATATATATATATATATATAAAAGAAATCAAACATTGAGCCTATACACAGCTACATATCAAAGGGATGATACATACATATTAGACATGCATTTTTACATCAACCATTACGCATCTCGGCATCCCACTTATCCTCATCAAACATTTTTACCTTCGTCAACCCAATACTCCATCATTTCATGTATGTGTATGTATGTGTATATATATATATATATATATATATATATATATATATGTCATTTTTATAATTTATTTTTTTAGTGATGCATTTTTTATTGCCCGACTGTAAGAAGGGTATATAATTAAAACTCAACAAAAAATAAAAGCGACATAAATTAATAATGTCCTCTTCAAAGATTTGTTATTAGTCTTAACATTCAATTATCTATTAGCTTTATCTTTCAATTAAGACATTATTGAACTCAAATTTTAGTTTATTAAAATATTAATTTTTTTTTCTGCCAATCAAAAACACATTGGTATAATTATTTTGTTACAATTATTATGATTAAGTTTCCATCGTTTTGAAAAAAAAAAAAACAAAGTACGTTTTATGACTAATTACATGCACATTACTTGATTGAGTACATGTCAATCGTTGGAAATTTATTTGTGAAGTTTAAAAATTTTATTGTCAAAATAAATTTCTGCCTAGGATAATAATATAAAAAAATAAAAAAAGAGAAACTTTGAAATTTTAAATAAAATTAAAGAATTGAGAGCTAGCGCCACCATGCTTTTGCTTTGTCCTTGCTTTCCTGTCTTTGCTTTTAACTCAAGTATGGTGTCTTGGAGTAAAAGTTTTTAATTTTACCATAAAATTCTTCATATAAAATCTCCTGTTGTACCCAGAAATTTTAAATATATTTCTGACAAGTGTTTTCAATGACTCTCAAGGCATTAAAGAGGGAAGAAGATAGAAGACAAGGTTTGACCTAGATATGATACCATGTTGGAGATGGTTTAATGATTCATTTATAGCAATTGATAAGGTTAACTTCATTTCATATATACCATGTTAGCTTCAGGATACCTAGTTTCATTTCATAAGGTTAACTTAGTCATTCCATAAAGTCTTCAAATACAAAGAAATGGTACCTAAGGGGCTGAAATTTTTACTAAAAGATATTAATTGTATATATTCAATTAATTAACACAATAGCTGCCTCTGCTCTAATCATCTGGGGCCTTAATTGATTTACCATTCCTCATGTTAGGCCGAAACATAGTTGCAAATGATGGCAATGAAACTCCTGGTTAATTTCCAATATGTTGGGCTTATTTGGGATCAATTCCATTTCTTGGTCGACATGGATGGATGCGACGAAGAAAGATGAGTGGATGATAGCAATCACAGTTTTTGTAGAATGGCCTGATTAATCTTTCCATTGTCACCGAAAATAGCTGCGGCCAACTAAAGTTTGAGTTTCTGATCCCCATAGTAGAAAGGAATTTCATTGTATTTGAATGAGTTGGGAGAAGGCAAACTCTAGCTATGAGTTCTCCACGTGGGAAGGTTTTTCTCCAATAATGGAAAGAAGGGAGAGAGAATTCCTGAATTAAATGAAACAATATACAATGGTCCCAGTGCTGGGCAATGAGGGCAGTGACAAGTGACAACCTAACTTATCCTATACTTATCTAGCCAGCTCACTCAGCTTAAATACAAAGGGGTCCGGGACAATTGGGACAGGGCTTCATACTGCCCCCTACCCTTTTTGCAGCTTTAATTTGTAAATATATTGTGTTAATGAAAAATTGTTAAAAAATAAAATTAATTTTATATAAAATTAAAAAGAAAGAGAAAAACAAGTTTGAGATAATTAGAATAATATGCAGTTTATTAAAAAAATTTTATATAATTATATATCGTATCATATATATATATATATATATATATATATAAACGTCACGTCTTGATAACTAGGTACATACATATTCAAAATATTGTACTAGCAATATGTACCTTGAATAGGTTGTGAATTAGGGTAAAATGCATTTAAGGGCGGCACAATTAATCCCGTGACATTATGGCTACCATATATGTATACTCAACTTTTTTAGGGACGGTATTTATAATCATTATTAATGTTTGCAATACGTTGTAAATGAGAAAACGTGATTCCTACAGTCCCAACTCACTGACTAGTGACTACTGATAGTCTTTATTTTGTCATAAATGTCCAGGAATAATAATCTTAAACATGTTGCTCATTCCTGATATTTTTGTTTAACTATTTTTCTTTTTCATAATTATAAGATAAAAATTAATCTTATTGGATCTGCATCCGAACATTTAGTTTAATAATTGATACATGATTCAAATCTTTTTTTTTTGTAATCAGCTTCTTTCCTGCACCAATCTCAGTGTTCTTGATCGCTTTCTGTGTTTTCACGGAGCAATATTCAATGATTGGGGACTTACTGGCTTCGAATAAATGATGTCTGCTGCAATAACACTCTTAGATATACGATTACCCAGACTTCAATATCTGTGTTAATGTTGCAATATCATCTGTAAATACTAATCTTTACATCAAACACTTCAAAATAACGAGATAAAAGTATTTCAATCTCAAATTAGGCAAGTAAGTTTTTTGAAAAAATTAATAATAATTCTATGAAAAAAAAAATAATTTCAAAACAAATTCAATCACAAGTAATGAGATTAATAACGATAAGAGCATCGTGAGATTAAATAGAACAAAAAATTACATCAAATACTTCAAAAAATAAAATAAAATATTTCTACCTCAAATTGAACAAGCTTTAAAGAACTTTACTAGCGAATTTTCAATAGTAAGGCACGACTCTTATTGCTTTTCTTTTTACTAGCAAATTTTCAATGGCAAATTTGCCAACAGCTTGACCTCTAAGATGAATGAAAGGTTTGAGGCACTAGGATGGACGTTGTTAATTTCAAGGCAGACAGCTTCACAGGAGAAACAGGGACGCAAATGACAGAAGAACATGGTGACTCGAGGAAAACAGAGATGGTAAGTCTATACACGAAGCAAAACGGTAATATAAACAACAGTTACAAAGAGAGGTGAATAAATGAATGCTACTACTTTCTTTTCCCTCTATCTTACATTTCTTGTAAATAAGAGTTCTATGTTACAAATCAAAATTGCAGTGGAGTTGCAAAGACCACAGCTAGTTTCTCTTACATTCTCAATTAGAAAGAGCTTCTCAGCTTTAAGCAATTAAAATAAGAATTGCACAAGCTTATACATCTCCCTTTCAAGGCACCTTCATTCGGTTGCCTTTGTGGCATCGTGTGTTTTGAATGAATTAGTTGGTTCGAACCAAGGGGCAAATACCCACCCTCCAAACACGATAGAGCATGTGCTCGTCGACGAGACAGATCACTTCCTTTCAACAAAGTTTGGCAGCCGGTCATGCAAAAACATTCACTGCAGCACCGGTGTTTGACAACAAAAGAATGCTCAACAGAAATCAAACAATCCGCCCAGAAGGCCATATCCTGCTGGATTGTAGGAGGGGTTGACCATGTGCCCACTAATAAAAGACCAAATCAGTATGGAATAACATATGGGAGAGCACAAACATCAGCTGACTCTATCTGCAGCGCCTCTGCCCACACTTGTGGTGCCTCATCAATCTCAGAAAATCCCACCTTGGGCTTCTTTGATTGAGATTCATTGCTGTGAAATAGCCATTCTTGGTCATCAAAATCAGACCATTCTTCCATTTTGGGCACCGAAAGTACCTGGCTCAAATACTTGGAATCTGGATGGGGTGGTTTCATAGACACTTCATCAATTTGAATAGCTTGTGCATTTGCTGCTAAAGGCTTTGTTGGGGAGACAGATAACAGCTGCGCTTCAATGATACCATTCACCTTGCAATCTTTATTATCCACTTTAAGACTGGTTCCTGCCCCTTGGCTATCCGAAGTAAGTGGTATGGGAGCTTGGCAAGATTCCAATGTCCTTCCATTGTCCGTCAATGGATGAGAGGAAGAAGAAGTTCTTGGAAACTTATTGGGTTTATTGTCATTAACTGTAACCAAAATAAAAAAGAAAGCAGAACTTGTTACCAAGATGGTTATAGAGCTTTAGAACTTTAACCCCTGCTAAGAAAAATGGATAAAATTATTGCCATGAAAGCAATTGCACGATTTTATGCATAGGTTTACCACCAGGTTTCCTAACAAATAAAAGGAACCTACGTTTCAAGTGATTAGCGGGATTTATACACACAATCATGGTATAAAACTCACCATGAAAAAATCCATTTTTTTCCAAGTCCTTTCGCTTGCGGAGATTTCCCTCAGCAACAGCATCCTTGTTGCCCTCCTTGGAAGGATGTGATGTTTTCAGATTAATGGTACCCACAGGGTCATCTTTGTTGCTTCCTTTTACGTTATCCAGCTCAAAATTCCTACGTTCACTTTTTGCCTTCGCCTTCTCCTCCTTCTTCTTCTCTCTGTCCCTGTCCTTATCTTTCCCATGACTTTTTTTCTCCCTGTCTTTATCCTTGCGTTTATCCCTGATTTTATCATCACTTTCCTTTTCTTTGGTTTTTTCTTTCCCCTCCACTTGTCTAGGAATCCCTTCAACTCTAGCTTTAGCTGCTCCAGGAAGGTTCTGAACCATAGCATTTCCACTAGATCTTGTCTCCTCCCTGATTCCTTGCACATCCAACTTCCTATCATCACTTCTCTTGTTCTTGTCCTTCTCTTCCAATATGTTGGCTGTCTTAGCCACCAATCTGACCATTCCCTCATCTCTTTTTCGGTCGGTAACCATAAACTTATCAGCCAATTGGTTTCCAGTTCCTGCACCTTCATCTCTAACCCTCCTTCCCAACTCCTGCACAAATTTAGAATCCCTGAAATCTTCAGCCAGATGGCTATTCTGGCTGATCTTCTCCCCATTATAACCTGAAACTTGCCCAGCAAGTTTCTTCTCACCTGATAAACTGCTTCGATCTTTATCCCTACCCTTCTCTTTCTGAATAAACTTCTCCCCACAGTGACCTTCAAACTTTCCTTGAAGCTTCTTCTCATCTGAGATTTTCTCCCCATTTTGACCCTCAGGATGACCAGGAAATTTCTTCTCTTCTGAGTTATTACTTCTATCTTTTTCTTTATCTCTATCCTTTTCCTTCTTTTTGTCTTTGTGTTTTTCCTTTTTGTCTTTCTTATCCTTATGCTTTCCATCACTCCTATCTTTCTCCCTTTTTTCTTTATTTTCTCTCTTCTCCTTGTCCTTCTTATCCTTCTTATGCTTTTTCTCTTTTTGCTTCTCCTGAAAATTAAGAATGATCTTAGAAAAACACGGATTCATGAGTCGAACGCAAAAGAATATCTATATAACTAGGAAACAATCAAACAAACCTTCACTAACCCTCAAAATGTGAAAGTTACACTAAAAGATCCATTCTGCATAAAGTTACAATTAATGCAGATATTAAGCATATCAACAGAGTAAAATACCTCTGTCAACAAATTACACACCAATCATCCATCAAGAAAATTACCAAATGATTACTTAAGGTATTGACAGAAGATAAATCTAACAATTCCCTTTGTATCCTGTCTTGAAAAGGTTATAAGAGAGGGAATTAAAGGAAATCTGATAAACATTTATTAGCCAAGCAACAGGGAGAATCCAAGAAACCACAACGATAACAACACACACCACAAACACAAAACACAAAAAGAACAACAACTAGTAAATGGCAGACAAGGCTGAACCACCATCATTCACCAATATAACCACCCAGCAAACAGAGAGCACCATGCCTGGATAGCTAAAATAGAATTCCACACATCTCTACCATAAAATGTTGTTGCAATAGCAATCATAAAATACCTAGCCTTAAACGTCAGACAAAAAAATTTTGAGATAACATAGTACATACCAAATTAATGAGCAAACTCTCCAATTATATTTGCTAAAGGCCTTAACCATGCAAAAAGAACCAGGAAAACGCAAGCAAATCCTACTATTAAAGAGAAAATGGTACTCAAATCCATCAAGGACTGCCTTTACACCAAATTGTTCTGAAAATCTATTCTATATTTTGCCTGCATAGGAGATAAGGCACTTCTCAACCTTATATTAGGTGTACCTTAATGTCATCATCAGCAAACAGATGACAGAAAGGAGACTAGCACACCACCAGAAGGTCCACTACCGATCAAAGCAAGGTGAATTTAAATGACATGAAAAACATCCTACTAACAAAGTGGTGGAGAACAAGAAGACACAGATTTGTTTTGCCATCCCCGGAGACTTTCAAGAAATTTGAGATTAAGGTAGTGAAGTAGTGTAAAGAAATCTATTAACATGAAATCTCATCCTTTAAACAAGAAATTCTTGAGGCACAATGCACTCATCTTTGAAAAAGCTGATATACATATTGCATTGTACTTGAATAAGGAAGGCTTAAAGGAACAGAATTTCCTTAAGTTCTTACAACCAAAGCTTCTTGGTGCATTCCATATTCTCCAATAAGTAAGGAAATATAGTCCATCAACTCCATTCTCTCAACAACAACTCACAATAACCCAAGCTAGATCAATAAGAGAAAAAAAATTATAAAAGCCAGCACCACCAAACTTCATTTTCATTATTGCAATTTCACTTGCACTTCTAGATACCTTTCATGGGTGTACTTAGTCCCAAAGGTGAAAACTCTTTTCCCACCAAATATTATGCAGTAAAGTATCAAACACTCATTTTAGACACGCGAGGAGTGACCTGTGAAATTTTGAATATCCCAATGAACAAGAACTATTGAATACCCCAATGAACATTGCTTAAATAATCACTTTGCCAAAAAGTTTCATTTTCAATGCTGTAATTCGGGCACTTTCTTGCTTCCTCTTTTTATCTTCTTTAGAGAAGTTGGTGCCATTTTGTGAAAGAAGGAGGAAGGGAATCGTTCACGTGCTAACCACAATGGTCACTATGTCAGTTTAGCACCCAGTTTCTCTAAAATCACATTCTTAGGAAACTGAATTGGGATTTTATAGCATACATTTGAATAAAGAATTTGGAAAGAAGAGACTAGCATCATGTGTGGCAGCCATATTCTCTTAAGAGCTACAATCATAAAAGTACCTATGCTCCTCGTAGTCTTCCTACCCAAAGCACCACAACTCAGGGCCCAAAGCGCTTTCAAGTTGACTTATAGAATTTTTAAAGGTGTGACACAGTCAATTAGAGCAAACACAAGTTGGAGGAAATCTTGGCCAAGCTGACAGTCATACTCGGTTGAAAATTAACCAGTTCAAACCACATATTCATTTTATGCCATGACAGACAATTCACTTCACGGGCAACAAAAAAATGATAAGGCACCGATCCCAACATCAAGAAATCATGATGACAACTCATATTCTATCCTTGGTAACTCACAAGGTAAACCATACCCTACCAAAAATATCCTCCATCCGTGGTAATGAATGTCTGGCCCATTCCTTCAGCAAAGCCCAAACTATTTCTTCATATCAACCTCATGCTATCTCTATATCAAACAATACAAAAGCTTTTCTATTCTAGTAATCAACTTAATGACAGCATAATAGCAGATTTCCATAAAGAGAAACTTATTCATGATGCTCTAATCCCACATAAGCCATCCACAAGTTACTTGATCTCCCCAGATCAACATATCAACTAACCAACTAATTAAAAATGAATACACCGAACCAGCAACTTTACATCTAGAACTAATACTTATAGGAGGTTTGCCACATGCTTTTAAGTGAATAAATTTCAAATGTATTACTCTGAGTCACAAACTAATATGAAAATTTAAACTTAGGTGCCGACATGTCACCAGAAGAATTAATACTATAAGTCAAAACACATACGATTGGGAACAGGAAGACATGGAAAGTCGACAAGAAAACACCCCTCGATGAAGAAAACTGTATAAAACAGCTTCATGGTAAAGAAATAAGGTCTCCAAGATAAGCCGCCAACACCAAAAAGGGTACAAGGAAATCAAGAAAAAAACTGCAGGAAGATGCAATCGTGCTTCCCAAGCCAACCCCCCCACCCAAGTTACTCCTCCATGGAGAAAACATTATAAAATACCTTTCTGGTGAAGAAATAAGGCCACCATGATCAGCAAACAAAAAAAAGAGGGTAATAAATATTTCACGGAACTGCAGGAAGATACAAACATGCAGGGGGGCATGGGAATGCGGTAATAAGAAATCTCCAAGAATGCAGAATAAACTCCTAGTAACATGAGCATGAAAGGGGTTCAAGAATCATAACAAAATAAAGAGACAGAGAGAGAGAGATCATACAGCCATTCAATCTCTAATATTAATAAGAACCAGGACGCACTACCAGTATACAGATCACCAAGCATTCCCTCACAGCATAGACTCAAGTTACATACTGTTTCAGCCATTTCAAACATACTGACCATGTTTAACAGTTAATACACAACAATAACTTTCGAATACATAGTGAGTTTTTTAAAATAAAAAATGAAAACAACAACATAAACAAAACAATACAAAAGAGAGAAACACAAGGTGGCAGGGTGTAACAGAATGCAAAGCCAGATAAGATGATAAGAAATCACACAAGATTGAGAGCGCCCCTCTAGCAGCAGCAGTAGGAATTGCCGAAATGATGGGACGTTTGCTTTTGAAGCTTCAATTATTTAAAGCAAGAAAATTATGCAGGCCAGATCACGAAGCTATCACTCTACTTTTATATTCATTTACACTAAGAGATATGCAAAGACAAATGATTTACTACACGTGATTAATTTGGATTATTCCTTTAGGATCTGCAATAGTCCTAATACAGTTGCACTAAAAATTCATTCTGACATATCCTAGCAACAGATAGGAGAAAACACAAGGGAAGCGGTTGAAACAAAAACGTGAGGGAATTCAAATTCGGGACACTGCAGAAGAATAAAATTCTTACGAAAATATGGATAAGTAAAAAGTTACTTATCTCTCTCTCTCAAGCGGATGTATTTCTCAAATTGCATCACAGTGAAAAGCAGAAGATAAGGATTCTCATAGCAAAATTACCAAATGCAGCTAAAACTGGGGGGGGAAATTACTTGAGTTACTCATAAAAGACAGTCGACAACCCTTCATTCATCAATCAAAAATAAACTTTTTCCTTGTGAATGTGGTTATTAAATTAAAATTCTTATCCGAACAATAACCACAACTTCATAATAAACATTGAAAGAATATGGGAGAGGGAGGGAGACAGAAAACGCGTCATGGATCATGCATACACCAATTAACATTACTACTTTCTCAAACAATTACCTCCAAGTATTGCTAATGCCAACATGACACCAACTAGCGTGCATAAATGATACAAAAAAAATTGTAACTGACTTGCTGATTGTAATTAAAAGAAACTCAGAGCCTTAGATTCCTCCTTGCTTCTAACTTTCGAATTTAGTCAAACTCAGTATAAAGCTGTAACTTTAAATAGCACATCAACACCCAACCAGAAAAGATTTTGGGTTAGTTGCTGAACTACAAAGTCATTGACTTTCAAACATCTGAGTGTCTTAGATAGAATGCCTAACTAGCTTTATCATGTTTCAAAGTGTTGAAACTAAATTAAATATCAATTTCAACCACAAACTTGTTTCTTCTAACCTATTTAAAGAATTTTCTCCCATCTCATCTCCTCAAAGAGCCTCTAAGTTCACTCTCAATCTGGCTGGCAAAACTGCAAAAGCTAACCATTTCTGCCGGTTCAAATCACTTGATCGGAACAGTCCAAACCATTGCCAATTCCTTTAGAGTACCCTCATTCACTTCTCATTGCTTCTTTTCCAAAATAATAAATTTTAGTTCAAACACAAGTCTACATTATTAATTCCATTATTCTAACATGTATTAAACACGTAAAAACTTGGAAAGAAACTGATTCTCATAGATATCGGAAAAGCAGACACCCAAGGTGATGATTCTTTACAAGTTATAAGTTCCTCAATCCATTATTTCTATGAACTAAAAGTATAATTAGAAAATAGATTAATAGAAAAAAAATGAGATATATTTGCATATAAGATTATCAAAACCACTTGTAAATTAGCAGATAAACTCCAAAATAACAATGCAGATTCTAACACCATAGTAATAACCCAAAAAAAAAAGTTAATAAAAGATTCATTCAGCCATAAATCATTAGTCACCAATAGTGCCCAATGTATGTATATATATTAGGCACCAAAAATACTGCTCTACCATTCCAACTAAGCTTCCAGTTCAACTATATGCATATATAATTAAGATCTTATCTGTTTAAAATATACAGCCTATCAACCTAATAAATGAATTTTTACAAATGTGCTTCATTCAGCAAGACATAGCATTTTTTAATCATCGGTAAAAGCAATCACAGAATATTATGTATCACATAAAATACATTTTAAGATGAGACAGCATAAACTTTATAAGCCATTTAATATTTCATGGAATAAAAACTGAAAAGCAATAACTCAAATCCGATGCAACTATTATGGAACTAGTTCTCATGAAACTTACAAATGGATGGTTATCATTAAATGTTACAGATTATAAGAAAATGGGGTTAACCTTTTTTATTATGTCCACGTCATCGGTTCTAGCCTTCTTTTCATATCCTGGCGGTGGGAAAGGAAAGCAACGCGACATTTCACAGAATTTCAGAACACGAAACACGAATGCCTTCCAAAAGCCAAATCACTTGAATTATCTTCCAGTAGCGATGTTCTGGAAAAGGAACAACAAGTTACTATGCTCCTGTCCATGCACCATAACCCTACACACATTTCCCGCTTCAATGTTCCTCCATGAACTCCTCTCACTTAATAGCACGTAAAACTCCTAAACCCACCAAGCCCTTGAATCTCCCTAACCACAACAGTCACCCAGGTCAACTATCTATCACTTAAACAATTCACTTCAGATGCAAAAATCACCACCGCAAGTCTGAAATCACTTACTAAACCTACCGTAATCTTACACTAAGCTACTTCAGCAATGCCCCACAAAGAAAGATAACTTAAAGAAATGCTCTTTTGATGAAGAATTCTAACCTGAAAACTATGTTAAACCAAACGGTTTTCTAAGAAACAAAAATGGTCCAGTAGAATCTGACCTTCTACGTTGCCTGCTGGGACAATAAAGAATCATCACCTCCTCCTTCCAATAATAACCCAATACCAAAACCATCCCCCAATTGAGATCAAACACATAAAAAATCACTTAGAACCCAAATACCCTTTTTCTCTAAAACAACTAAATCTTCAAACCTTTTTTATCAGTATCTACACAATTCAATATGAAAGCAATCCTCCTCCATGCCCAAAAGCTTTGACATCACCATTTCTTAAGCAATCTCTTTAAAGATTAAAGCTTGAGACAAATAACTCTTCAATCCGATGCTCCAAAAATGTGAGCTGGAGCCCATTTATGCTCTGATCAAAACCCTAATCAGTTCCCAATTTGGGAAGTTTCCCCCAATTTGTTGATCCAGATGGAAAACCCTAGGAAAAAAAAAACCATCAAACAAAAAACCTTCACTAAGCAAATATTAAGTACCCATTAAATAACAAGATAAAATAAAGAAGGCCCAAATTTCATCTAAGAACAATTAAATCAAAAAACTAAAAATAGACCAAAAAAAGGAAAAGTTTTAAAGAAACACTTTTCTGAGTACCTAAGAGTAAATGGGTATCGATCAAAAGCCAAAAAGAAAGCTTTGATTCAAAGCGTAAATGTTAAAAAATAAAAATAAAAATAAAAATCAGCTTTTAATAAAAATGAATTTCGAAGGTGATGGGTGGATTAGATTATTACCTTGCCCGCTACAAAGTGGGCATTGTAGGAAGGACAAGATCTTTTTTTTTTTTTTCTATTTTTGCTCTCAGATTAATAAAAAATTAGATATAAAATGAAAATTACAGAGACAAGTAGAAGAAGAAGAAGTAGTAGGCAAACTTCAATCTCAGTTTCTTTTTTCTGTTATGTTTTCTCTGTACGATTTTCTTTCTTTCTTTTTTTTTGGTTTTGTTTTGTAGGGGTCTGGGTATTTGAGAGAGAGAAGGAGAGAGCGCTTCTTGGTTAGAAGAAGGCTTATTATTTTGTTCGGAAGTCACACGCGAGAATGAGAGGAAAACATTAACCAAAAAAAAAAAAAGAAAAGGGAGAAAAGGGAGAGAGGCCGACGAAGGCCCAAATCAATTGTGAGACGCATAAACATTTTAGATATTAGATAGACAAGCAAGTAAGCGGAAGACAGGGAGTGGGACAGAGGTTGAGAGTCGTGTATTTTCGTCTGCGCCTTAAGCTCAAGCACATAGATTTTTCCCATTAACATACCATGTATGAATTCATATATTGATAAAAATCAGATTTATTAACTACAGGTGACATTTATTTGATTAAAATATTTAAAATAATTTTATCCATTCAATATAGATCAGGATTTATGATTATGATTTAATCATATAAACATTTAGTAATAACTTTTATGAAACTAAATTATAGAATCAAAACTCTTCGTTGATAATAATAATTTTTCTGTAATTTCTTTGTTGCATGCTCCGTGATAATTAGGCATGACAATGGAGGATGGCGAGAGCGAGGATTACCTCCTCTACCCTCATCTCTACCTCCATGAATTTTTCTAACATTTAGTCTTGATAATTATATATTTTTATAAATTTTTTAAAAAATAAAGTTAATGTACTCTCATCTTATTATTAATAGCTAAAAACTTTTTTTTGTGTTAATCCTCCATGTTGATTTATTTAAACTATCTAATACAAATCTGGTATACCAAACTTAATATAATTTTCAAAAGGTTTAAAAAATAAATCCTAACCACAATAAATTTCAATTTTTTTTAAAATTTAACATAAATATTTAAATTTAATCTCTAAATACATACATGTAAATATATATATATATATATATATATATAATATAAGCTGAGTGAGAGGGAGCAACCTTGCATCGTCATTGTTTTTAAACAAAAAAATATTTTATTTGAACCGATCAATGTGAAAATTTTAAAGTGAATTAATTTTTTTTTAATAATATTAATTCGCTTTACAGATAGGATTAATTTTTAACTAAATTCCACATCTCTCTCACTGATTTAATTAAATAGATATGATCTTCAGATTTTAAATTTCAAATCCGATTTTTAAATAATACTCTTAACTTAATTACTAAATTAGACTCCCCCTTTCCAAGAGGGTTTTAGAAGTGCTCTCTCTATCTTTCTCTTTATCTATTTATTTTCCTCAAGCCCGAGGGATGGGATGAGCAACAAGAAAAGCCAAAATTTGTACTTCAATGGATGCTGCTTTAGGAATGCAAACTTAAGTCCTGGCATGTAGGTTTGCTCGAAGTGTTTTGATGTAAGTTGATCGCTGGTGCATGGCGGAGAAGAGGCAGGAGAAGAAGCATCCACGCGCTAGTGATGCACGTGAGAGAAGAAGCTACTCCAGAGAAAGAAGTCTAAGTTACAATAGGAAGCCATTTGTGGAAGCACATGTGGGTAGGCACCCTTTTGCCTGTTAGCTAATTTCTCTGCTAGTGAAGAATCACCACGTGGCACCACCCCAGCCAATCAGATATCTATCTGTCCATACACGTGTAATCCCATCACGTGCCCCTTAAAAAGATGACCACGATTGACTCAATGCTCTGCCCATGTGAAGCGGCTTTAGGCATTCCTCAGATTGCCTTCACAAAGGCCCAAAGAGGGAGGACAAGGGGGGGCTCTTTTCTCTTTCTTTGTCTTGGCCTTTGCATAGGCTCGCTAGGGTGGGTCTCTCTAGAAGCACACGCCAACGACGGTGTAGCCATATTTTGCCAAGATGGGCGAAGTCCAAAAATCCCCATTTTCTTATGAACCCTACAATAATTGCCCCTCCAATGACCGAAACATTGCCTTGTACACCAATAATGTGGTCTTCTTCCCAGATTTGAAACCTGATTCTATTGGAACTTGGTTTCGTACATCTTACAAAAATAGCACTTTAACAATTAAAATTTGTTTTTCCATTTTAATATATTTTGAATTTAAATCTTAAAATACAAGACGTTACTATTCATATTTTTTAAGTTTGTCTGCAAATAACCTTAGTAAATTTTTTTCAAGGAAGTTATTACTATTTTCATCTGCTATTCAAGGCAAATAGCAGACGATTTTTGTTTGATTTAGTTGTATTAGGCAATGCATTGTTTTCTTTTTTTTTTATCACTATTATTTATCATTATTCCATTTAAGTACTTGCACTATATTGTGAAATATTTGAAGGAGGCTGGATTGAACTAGCAATGAAGGATTGTATAAAACAAAACGTGCATGAACCTCATAAAAGCCTTCTTAAATAGGTAGAGTAAATCTATATCCAAAAGGACGCAGAGAGTCAAATGAAATGGTTTGTTGACAAGTCATTGTAAAAATGAATGCTTATCGTTTTAATTGTCACTCTTTGCAAATCCTTTTTCAAATCCCGATCACGTTTACACGTCATCAAATATATATATATATATATATATATATATCCTCATCAAGGTAAATCATATATAAAAATTAATTTAATGATAATAAATTGAAGTAGTGTTTTTTCTTTTTTAAATTATAATAAAAAATATAAATTACAATAATAATAAAATATTAATTGTGTATAAGAATTCAGCAAATCAAACTTAACAAATATATCAATATATAATTAGGTAAGTTCAATAAAAGATATATTGAAGTTATCAGATTTAAACTTAAGACTTTAAGATTTTAAGATCTCCTTCTTACCTTTGAAGACAAAATTTCATTAATTATTCAAGTAAGTTTCTTTAAAAGTAAATTTGTGACATTTTTTATTAAAAAATTATATCAATAGTTAATAGTACAATTAAGAAATATCTTTAAATAGTTTTGAGCATTTGACTTAAGGAATTAAAAAAAAAAACTTATATTTGGGATAATTGTCATAAATTTTATATCAATGAGAGATAAGATAAGTATTAAATATATAAATATTAATTTTTTGTTAACTATCAAATATATTTTTTGAGTTAAGAACGTAACTTCGTGATTTATAAACTTATTTAAACTATATTTTTACAATTTAAAATCGTATGAGATTATATTTAAGTTTCAGCTTGTGATATTTGGTATTAGAGTAAATTTGAATCTTTATCAATTTGTAACCCTTTATTTTTAGAATCTAAAGCATTGTATTTAAATTTCAACTTATGGCATTAGGTCACAAAATAAATCAAAATCTTCATTAATGTGGGATCTTTTATTTTCAAAGTTGGTATCAAAGTAATTATTGATTTCGTCGATGTGAGACTTTCATAAAAAATACAAAGATCGAAATAGATTCAATTTAATATTAGAGTAAATTTGAATCTTTAATAATATCGGACACTTATAAAAGATATAAAGATAAAAAAAGATCGAGATTAGTTTAAGAATCTTTGTTCTCTACGAATAAAGAGCCAAAACAACATTATTTAAGTTATATTTTCAAAATTTAAAATTACACTAGTTAGACTTAAGCTCGACGTGTGAAATTACCTTATGCTCAATCAATTATAATAAAAGAACTATTTAAGTTAAGCTCAAAAAAGCCTCAAACCCAAGGCCCAACAAAAACCATTTATGTTTTCTTGCAACTTGGTTAGCCGTTAGGCAACCCAATCCAAAGGAATTTATGCTGACGTGGACCATGCCCAACTTTAATTATCCACAGCCGAGTGATAATCACGTCAGACAGCTTCATTCATGTACGGTATCTTTCTTCACGGTTCGTCAATTTAACGCTTCTCGATATGTACTTTTTTGTCACTCAAAACTACTATTGACTGAAACGTATAGAGGTACAACTAATCACGTGGAAAACTTGGACAAAGATTACAGTACACCAACACCGCAGCTGAACAAAACCCGTTAAACCTCTTCGCTATTAAAGTCTGCAGATATTTTCTCTTCTTCCGGAGCTCTTAAACCCTAGCCGCTTCTTTTATTTCTGTCTCTTGCAAATTTCTTGGCTTTTCTCTTCTTAAAGGTGAAGATTATTGATTTTGTTTATATGGGTTTGTTTCTTTGAATCCATTTTTCGGATTTTTTACTTTTTTTTTTGAAAGTTATGATGATGATGATGATTTTCTTTTGGGGTTATGGTTTTGCTAGTTTCTGTTCTGTTAGTTTTTTGAGTTGATTTGTCTTGATTTCTTGATTTTATTTATTGTTTTTTTTTCTGTTTCTTTTTAATGTTTATGTTGCATGTCTCTTTGGACATGGAAAAATTTAACATATATCTTATCACTGTCGTCAGTTATAATAGATCCAGCAAATTATGTAACGACATGCCGTAAAAAAATTGGAATGATGTTATGAATGGGCATACACTTTTGTAATAATTTCTCCTGTTCAGGGGGTATATGAAACATGTTTGAACATTGTCCTTGATTGTTGGGGAGAGGGTGAGAAACGATTGAAGACAACTGGGAAAACCAATTTTTATAGTAATATACATGAAAAGTTCAAATATTTAATGAGATCTTAAACCCTTTTAGCTACAATTGAATTGATTGGTTTCTGGGATTTCAAATGGTTTCATATTGTATGTGAACTTTTTTTGTGGTTTGCTTTGGTTATTAACTGGGTTAAAGATTTGAACTAACTTGCTGTTTTGTTTTTGTCTTTGTGGCTTGGTGGTGCTGCTGTTAAAAAATGGTACAGTAAGCATTATAATGGCACTTTCTAGCAAACTTGGAAGCCTACTGAGGCAAAATGGGCAAATGCCAATTACATCCATGCTTAATTCTGTCCGCTGCATGTCAACATCAACCAAAAAGCTTTTTATTGGAGGTATTGATACATGTTGGGTTGTTGTTCAAAGATTAGATGTGGATATTATTTATTGTGTATTTGACTTGAATCTATGGTTTTTAGGTCTTTCATACGGTACTGATGATCAGACTCTCAAGGAAGCATTTTCCGGATTTGGGGATGTCACTGAAGGTGAGCTGTATTGGTGATGCTTATGATACTATTAAGTTTTTGACATTGTTATTAGGTTTGCTGTTCTAGTCAAGTATATGAATTAGTAGCCTGCATTTCTTGTCAAGCAGACAAACTAGTTGTCCCTTTTATTCTAGCTCATTAAGTAGTACCAAGTAGAAATGTGTGTTCTTTGTTCTGTAGAGTGATTAACATTGTTAACGTGTTTGTTAGGTGTTTTTTGTACTTTGTTTTTGGGTATCTTGGATACAAAACGTAGAGTTATGCTTAAGCTTGTCCGGGATCTATGCTATATGTCTCTATCTTTTTTGTAGCTTTCTCCTGGAAGAAGTTGAATAATGATGAGTGCAAGTGAGTGTTTTGCATGGTGTTATAATTGAAATCATAAGAAGTTCACCTTGTCTGCCTGATTGGTGATTTGGGCCAGTGAACTTTGTGTTTTTACATGCAATAACAATTGTTATTGGCATCTTTGTTAAGCATCGAATGTATTTTTTATAGTGCTTGATTCTGTTTTATGTTCTCATTCTCTGTGTTTATGTTGATCAGCAAGGATTATCGTTGATAGAGACAGTGGGAGGTCTAGGGGCTTCGGTTTTGTGAACTTTGCTGATGATCAATCTGCCAGCAATGCCTTGTCAGCCATGGATGGTCAGGTGAGGAAAAAAACATTTATTGATGTGCGGAACATGTTTCTGCAGAATTATGTATTTGACTGTTTTGCACTGAAATTTCAGGAACTCAATGGGAGAAACATTCGAGTAAGTTATGCCAATGAAAGACCTAGTGGCCCTCGATCTTTTGGTGGCAACAACGGTGGTTTCCGTGGGGATAGAGGTTTTGGAGGGGATTCTGGTTACTAAGTCCTTACATCAAAATCTATCCATGGGCGTGTCTGTAGCTAGTAGTTTACTTGTTTAGATTTGAGGATGTATTTAGATATATTCTAGATGTGCTGAACTTATGCAACTACTTTACACTATTGGTTCAATTTTTGTTAGTTGTTGCATTTTATTATCTAATATTTATATTGGCAAGGTAAGGTTTTGACATTGCTTGTGCATGTCATTGCATGTGTTTTGGATTGTGGTTTAAGTATCTTGGCTCTTTGTTTATTGCAGGGGAATTTTGTGGTATCTGCCTGCAATATGGTTATGCCAACTTAATTACAGGTAGGATTACAGCCCAGTTTGATGGTGCAATACTATGATTGTAATATTTCATGAGATTCAATATGCATTTTATAGACAAGTATTTTTACATTGGTCTTATTTGCTGAGTTTTACACTGGGTTGGAATTGAGTGAATGGGGGAAAGTAGAAGCAGCGGAAGGTTGGTTGGTTTCTTTTCCTCGAGAGAATTATTTATAATTCAAGGAGAATGGAAATAATAGAGAAAGCTTTACTTTCCAATTTCTTGGAGCGCAATTTTTTGTCAGTTGTTTCCTAGGAGGCAAACGTGCACTTCTTGTTTTACCAAGTATTTCACATTCTTTAAGCTAATGGATTTGTAGTTCCTTTTTACAGTGGTAAATTACACATTTCTTTCCTTTTCCCGTAGTCTACCTGAACCTTTTGGTATTAAATCATTTGTTCTTAACATTTTAGTTTTTTTTATTATTATTTTTTCAAAAATAGTATAAACTTGGTAGAGTTTAAGTTTCTGTCTTACTAAATATCATTGGGAAATTGTAATTTTCCGTCGTAGACCTTGGAGGGAAGCAAGGTGCAAGGTGGGCCTTAATTCTGATATTGAGCAACCCAACAACATGGGTTTGCCAACTACTCTCTTATATTCGAGCCCAGTCCAAAAGTGTTACAATATCAATTTTCATGTAGGAGACTAATGACGTGAATTTGTTACAGGTTCACATCGTTAATTTAAAAGATATGTTCATTAGATAGAGAAAAATATTCAATACATAGAATACGTGACATTCAACTCTATTTAATTGTGCAATGATCTAGTTGTACGGATTCTTTCATTCATTAAAAACAGAAGAATTCATCATGATCTAAGACTATTTTGATTTTGATCTCTTGTGAGATTTCGCATTAGTGAAAAGTTTAATGAGTTTTAATATTACTTGGTAATTGAAAAGATATGTTTATTAAATGAAAGAAGATTTTAATCTAAAAGTTTAATGGATATGCAATTTTGGCTAGATAATGAATTTTGCTTTGCTACTTTTATTTAAAAATGAAATAAAAATACTGAATTATATGTTAATTTATCATGTTTAACTAAGTAAATATGAAGTTTTAACTAAATTCAATAGTATAAATTATTAATTTTTTTGATAATTGCAAATAAAAATTCACATGATACCAAAGTATTATCAAAAGTTTCAAGACACAAAATACAGATCCAAAACTATAAAAAATATTATCAAATAAAAGTCATTAATGAGAACAAAATCAAAACCATTAATCAATTACAAATACATATATTTTCATAAGTTAAAGTGGGGATATATTCCCATCCTCCTAGCAAGAGACCATGAAAAACAGCAATAGACTAATGAAATCCATTTCATTCCTTTATAAGTATTACTTTTACAATAATTAAAACAAAATGAGAAAAAATCTTTATCTAATATCAATAATGTTATCATTAAAACTATATATGCACAATTATATTCTTAGCATGTACCAAATAAAAAATAAGTATTTATAAATTGTCCATTGTAATTAAAAACTGCCGTGAAAAATGCAAACAAGGTCAAAGCCTGATTCGGTATAACAGGATCAAGTCAAGTGAAAGTACCTTGTTAAGTATTTTATGTAAGAGACCAATAATCTTTGGTTTTGGTAAGCAAACCAAATTTGCAAAGCTGACTAGAATGAGTGGATGGACGATGATCATGCACCTCCAACGTGTCGCTGTTTATGGTTGGTAAATGATTGCAGTACAGGGCTATCGTATGTAGGAAAGTTTCACTCTCAGGTTGGTGGCAGTATACTGGCTATTGGGTTGTTGAGTGGCAACTTTGTCATTTCAACCACACCAACCCCCACCCGCCTCTCTCTCATATACTCTCTCTGCGTTGCCAACTTATTCTCGCCCCTCCCTCTATCGATTCATCGAAAACCCATTTGTGAGTTTTCTTTCTTTTTCATGTTTTCTGGGAGTTTTGCTCCGACATGTAATTTGTGATTTTGTTATCTGAACTTGGGAACAATGTACTACAACAAACCTCGGATATTAGATTTGGAGTATTCTGTCGATATTTGGTGTCTATTTAGATTCTTGACGATGTATAACTTGTACTATATCGTTTATGTTTTAGCTGATCTGATTTGCTTCCAAAGGATTGACATAAATTGTTCATTTGTGTTCTTCTTCAAATTGGGCTTTTGCTATGAATCATCAGTTTTTGTTTCAGATTTGGTTTGGGTTCATTGATCTGGGTAATCATGGCTTTTTTAACAAATTCTGCAATGCCCTGAGGCGGAGAAATTTTGTATGTGTGCGTGATACTGTCGCGTCGGTGCATATGTGAGACTCCTGTTTTTAATTCCTAGGAAAATGACTTTCCGATAATTTGGTTTGATTATTGATCGTATAATATACCATGTTTGTTTTAGATTTCATTTTCGGTACTTAGCTTAATCATGATGATGTAAGCCTGCTATCATGTTTTAGTCCATAATGGTTAATCCATGAGACAATTTAGTGTGTTAAGTTCTAAGAAAGTATTATTTTAAATATTAGTTTATCATTCCCTTGCATTCAGGTCTCTTGCCTTTGTGGTTGCCTCTGCGTGTCGTTCCTTTTTATTTATTTCTTCAAAAGTCTTAGTTTCATATTCAATTCTTGATTCCACTTGCAGCTGTTGGTGACACTGACAGTCCCAGATCTAGTTAAAAATGAAGGTGATAGAGAAGATTCGGACTTTGCAGGAGGAGCAAGGGAAAGTTGTGTTTTCGTTTGAGTTCTTCCCCCCAAAGACTGAGGATGGAGTTGACAACCTGTTTGAGAGGATGGATCGCATGGTTGCTCATAATCCATCATTCTGTGACATTACATGGGGTGCAGGTGGGTCCACTGCGGATCTCACCCTGGACATTGCTAACAAGATGCAGAATATCATCTGCGTGGAGACCATGATGCACCTCACTTGCACCAACATGCCTGTGGAGAAGATCGACCATGCTCTTCAGACCATTAAGTCCAATGGCATTCAGAATGTTCTTGCCCTCCGAGGTGACCCTCCTCATGGCCAGGACAAGTTTGTCCAGGTCGAAGGTGGCTTTGCCTGTGCCCTTGATCTGGTAAAGATTGTTCATTTTGTTTCCTTTTAAATCTTTCCCATTTTTTCTATATTAATATGTTACTAACCTTTCTTTCTAAATTCTAGGTGAAACATATTAGAAGCAAGTATGGTGACTATTTTGGCATCACAGTTGCTGGTTATCCAGGTGCTTTTCATTGTCTTTTATTTTGATTGATGATTGTCTACTGATAAGGGGCCTGTTGTGGTGGCTTGTGATTATTAATAGTTTGCTTTGTTGCTCAGAGGCACATCCTGATGCCATAGGAAGTGACAGTGTAGCTACACCTGAAGCTTATCAGAATGATCTTGAATACTTGAAGAGAAAGGTTTTACTCTCAACTCCTTAATTGGCAAATTGTGTTCTAATCTTTTGATGTTTGTAGTTCCACTGCAATGCAATAGTTATTTTTTGTGCTGAAGCCTCTTTACTTCATAGGTTGATGCGGGAGCTGATCTGATTGTCACTCAACTGTTTTATGATACTGATATCTTTCTCAAATTTGTCAATGACTGTCGGCAAATTGGAATTACATGTCCTATCGTGCCGGGTATTATGCCCATTAATAATTACAAGGGATTCTTGCGTATGACTGGCTTCTGCAAAACCAAGGTATGTGGTATATAGCCCATTTCACTTTTTCGTAACAAACATTGCATTGCATTGCATTTCTTATGACACATGTAATGAAAATGCATTTGTCCCTCTTTTCCTCTTAGTCTGAGAAAATTATGGTGAGGTAATTTTGAGCATTTCAACAGGTATCAATTGGTAAAATATTATTGTAAAGGTGTATGTACTAGTTGGATATTTTCCTTTCTAGAATTGTTTTATGGAAAAGGTGCATGTACTAGCTAGTTTTTCAAATAATTCCACAAGCAGAGAAATCAATGTGGCTAAATGTCATTGAGGTAAACCCATGCTTATAGAAGAATAATGCAAGGATTTTATGTTGCTTGCTTGCATAAAGGAACAGAATGTAGTGTCGCTCTTCTCAAAGGCTAAAACTTCTAAGATTTTGGAGGTCCCTTATTTGAATGGGTTTTTCATATTATCACAACAATGCACTGTTGGGGCTGCTTTTCCTTAACTATTGATTTAATACGTTCATTATGGTTGCTTAGAAGAATGGATATAAAAGGCTATTTTGGTCGTTGTTGCCATTAATATTTTTCAAATGGCTCTCTGTAGATACCAGCTGACATTGCTGATACCTTAGAGCGTATCAAGGACAATGATGAAGCCGTCAAATCCTATGGGATTCAAGTTGGAACAGAAATGTGCCGCAAGATTTTAGCTCATGGAATTAAGACATTGCACCTTTATACATTAAACATGGAGAAATCTGCACTAGCTATACTAATGGTTGGTTCTTATTATCCTATTTTTCATTTATTATTTTGGCATGTAGAAGATGTTATTTCTGAATATCTTTTGACTTTCTAAACTTTGAAATTTGAAGAGAAAAATCTTGACGGCTTTTACAGGGTCAATCAAAACTCTTGAACTATAAGTTTTTGTTCTTCAATTATTTAGGCTCCACTTGGTCGATGCTTTTTCTTTTTTTTTTTTTTCCTTTTTGTCTTTCTTTTTTTCTGCAAAAAAAAGAATAGAAATAAAAAGCAAAAAATAAAAAATTAATAGAACACAAAAGGCAAATACCAAAGCACCAACCAAACGGAGTTCTAGAAAAAACTTTGTACTAAGTAGTGGTTCAATATCATACTTTCTCATAGAATACTTTTAAATAATTAAATTAAGATCAGTGGAAATAATGAAGGAAAGAAAAGAGATGCAAGTACAGAATTCACTGTATCCCAATCCTTATTGATTTATTACCCGCATATTTCATTTTAGTGACTTAACTGTTGTTCAATCATTTAAGATAATCTGTTGGGAACTTTTTTTTTACTCAATTGAAAGTAAAAGAGAAAATGACTTCGGCAGTAGTTATGAGTCAAGTTATATTCATCTCTATTCTCTAAC